CGACTAGTTGCATCTCCTGCAGTAAAGGGCCCCTAATCCTGAAGGAAGTTGGCTTTGCTTCCTTTTTGCTGGAGTCTGTTCTTTATAGGATGTAGGGGATAGACTGAGAAGTCTGTGTTCAAGCCAAGGAAAGAAATATGCCGCTGATACAGTTGCAAAGGGAACATTTAGGATATGCTGTGGATGTAGAACACAAAGTAGTTTTTCAGTAATTAAAACCAGGATAAACATAGCACCTTCAAACCATCTCCCACTTCCTGAAAGCCCAGTTGATTCTCTCAGGGAAGAGCAGAGGTGCTGGCTGCAAATACAAAATCCTGGTGGAAAATCTTTCCCCAGTGAGGATGTGTCTGGGGCTTTTAGTTCCAGAATCCCTACCTGTGTGTGCTATTTCTTATGAGCCCAGAAAGGATCGCCAGGGGACAGGAAACCTGCTACATCCTCCTCATTCTATTCATGGCTCACCTCTGAGTCTTGGGGAAAGAGAAGGCAGTGGTCATGGAACTAACAGGATGAAGATGAGCATGGGCCATGTGGACACTGCTTGGAGGTTGTAGGCAGGGTCTTGCTCACCTCCAGATGCATGCAGCATCCCTATCTGGACCCAGATGTTGTTCAGTTTCCTCAGTTCTCCATGTATAGCTATTGCTGGTAATGGCTAGACATGAGCACCTATTGACTCACCACAAAATCCACACACACAACTTATACAGATAATATATTTTTTAAGAAAAAACAACAATGGGCACCTGAAATTGAACCACATTAGGGTGGTTCGATGAATTTTTAAATTTCCTTAAATGGAAAGACATTTTGTGAAATCCAGCAGTACTTATTGCGTGGTCATGGTGCTCAGTTATAAAGCTGAACAAGAGTTCTTTTTGTTGCTAGGATTTAATTAAAATGGAATCGTTCTCTCTCCCCCCCCCCCCCCATTCTCCAGTTCTGGTTGGAGGCCTGCAGTGCCTCTTCTTTTTTTCCAAATTTCATTTAGTCCGTTATTGCCTCCTTGCATTGTTTTAAAAGTGAATGGCCTCTCCTAGGAGGGTGCAAGCACTCCACATAATTGATTCCTAAAGCTCAAAGTATCAGCAAGTGTGAATCAACTTGGCCTTTTATTAGCAAACTATGTTTCACCTGTGATCAAGGGCTTGCTCCCGAAATGCCCTCGCAGACTTTGCTCTTCTTTCACAGCAATCTTTCCCCTGTAAAATGGGTAATCACAAACGACAACGCAAAACAGATGTATATAATTAATAATGGCAGAGGCAGCAACTGTGCCGATTACCGTGCAGACTGTATCACGGCCAAGAGCTATAGCTTATCTACAGTGGCAGTCTGCAGAAATTAACTCATCTATTCCTGGAGCAGTAATAGATTTTTAAAAGCAACGCTAGAAGTAAAATAAGCCCTGCTACATTGTTCGAGGATGTTTAGCTTTTAAACACACAAGATAATGATTCTTTTTAATAGCTTAATGCTTTATCTGGTCCTGTTCCAGGTCTTCCAATATGCTATGCATTATGTACATTAGTGACAATGAATTTGAAATGAATTGATAGACCAAAACCCCTGAGAGGACAGCATATGAACTTTTTTTTTTTTTTTTTTTAGACTGGTGCAGCAATTGCATATCCCTGTTCCAGTAAACTACGGCATGCACACTTGTTAAATCTTCAAACTCCCAAATAAATGGGAATGGTTATGGCTTCTGCATATTATGACTGATTTGGCTCTCCTTTTAAAAATATCCTCCCCCCCCCCCCCCAGGATTTAGGAGTGGGCAGTAGCAGGAATGCTGGTGTTGTCTCTGCCCCACCAAAAGCACCAGTACTGGAATATAGACATTGAAATTAGTCTATGTGCAATTGTTACTGGTTTCGCCTATACTGTAATCAGCACTCTTTTACATCTTTAGTTTATATGCCATTCTTCCTTTTGCTGATTTTTAAAAAAAGGAATCCTCATGATCTTTTCCCCTTCAGCCTCTACCCATAAGTCACAAATTAACTCTTACGTATTTATGCTGCTTATGCCCCATGCTGTCATTTGGTCTCTTAGTTTAAACTGCATGATTTGAAAGTATTGGGTGATGTTCTTGGGAGGCAGTGCTCTCTTGACCACTGGTCAGTCACTTCAGTGCTGCTTACCAAGGACTAGAGGGGAAGAAGCAAGATAAAGCAAGGTCAGTGCAGTGCAGATGCATTAGTAGAACCAACTGGGTGCTCCCACTAGAGCATTTGCACCATGCTGACCTCACCAATGCCTCATCTTTCCCCCTCAACTTCTCAGTAAGCAGCAGTGATGTGGCTGACCACAGGTCAAGTGAGCATGGTTTGGCAAAAGACAAAGAGCCATCTTTGTGGTCATACCCAGATTTTGCAGTGCTGGAAGTGTAAGGGAGATTCAGTCTGCAGCTTAAGGGCTAAATCAGTTAGTGTTAAAGTCAACTAGCCAAGAGATGAAATGAATAGAGGTGTTGTTTTGCAACCAAGGAGAATGGCATGGTCTTCAGTGAGGTAGCACACACTCTGAATGGCTGTGTAGTTCTGAGGGAGTTTTCCTCTGCATCTTTCATTGAATATCTGCCTTCTGTGTACAAGCCTGACTTAAGAAAGACAGCACCTGTCAGTTACTTTCTCCTCAAATTGTTGACTGTTTTTATTCAATCTTGCCCTATGAGATTTGTTTGGCTCTCTCCATTACTGTTTTTCTCTTCTTCTTTCCTTTTTCTTTTGCTGAATGGTTGAAACATTTCTGTTCTGGCAACCATTTATATTTCTGGCCAGACGATTTACTTTATTTTATTTTTTTAATGTGGTAGTGTAGGGATATCGCGGAGTGGATAGTGAGGTCCGGAGGGAGCACACTCTCCACCAGCAGGCAGCCACAGCCTGCCTACATGCGTGACCCTGGGGTGCAGGGAAAATCCCCCCCCCCCGACAAGCCATGGCTGTCTGGCACATTGTTTCCTAAGTCTGACCTTTTGCGGTCTCAGCAGTCAGCGGTGTCCTGTCTGTAACCCTTTTCCATGAGACCTTCGTCTCCATTCATCATACACTGTGCAAGGGGAAAATGATGCTGTGGAACAGGTGCCAAAATAGCTTTTTACCACCCCACGATATTGGGACGGAAGATGTGTAAAGGTCACAGTCCAAAATGTATCTGCCTAGCTTGCATATTTGTCACAATAAAAGGAGGCTCCACAGGAATGGCAGCAGCTCGCTTCAGACCACCTGTGCGCAGCTCACATCATGATCAACACCTGTCTTGGGCCTTCACTTCATGGTAGACCCTCCTTTTAGAATGTTCTTGTCTGCTAAGCCTTTTGCTGCTTTTAGCATGCTCCTTGGTGGGATTGTTTTGTTCTCAATTGTTTTAAGCCACCCTGATTGATGCAAATACATGGAATATACATATTCTAAATGAAGAAATAAACAAAGCAGTCTGCTTCAGGAAGCACCAAGAAGTGAGGGTGGGGGAGAGAAATTGAGTTGTCTCCATTGAGTGCACTGAAGCATGTGGGCACTTGGGCTCTGTTTCAGACAGCAACATTTGTTGAGCTGGCACTGGGTTTTAAAAATCCCCATGCCAAACATGGAACATCAATAACAGGTAATGCACTAACCATTTCTATTCAGGAAGGATAGTCCTGTATCTATTTAGTGCCAGTCTGTGTTTCTATTTTGCCCCACCAGTGGATTTGTTTTATTTCATTTCCTGTTTAGTCTTTGCATATCGAGCTCCAATGTTCAGGTTCCAAATGTTTAACCCAGTTGGAAACACTGCTCGCCAATCCCAGGGAGAGCTGAGGCAGATAATGAGGGAGCTTGGTTGACCTCTCCTAAGAATTGGCATAGGCAAGTGGTGTTTGTGCAGATCATTCCATCCAATTTCCTTTCTTCCGTGATGGGAAATTGAATCGCCACCGTGCTGCTAAATGAGCTTCCTGTGCTCTGTGCCTCTGAAACTCTGTATCACCTGTCCAGGTTTTTAACTTGACTATCCTATTCTGGCTTCAGAGGTCTCCAGAATAATAAGGCAAGTTGTGTACATTTAGATGCAGTTTCTTTTCCAAATTTGAGTCAGAGTGCACATTTTAAGTTGACCAGGGAGTGACTTTCCTGGCCATTTCTTTTCGTACAGACGAAGAAAAGAAACACTGCACTGCAACCTTAGAATAGAGAGGTGCCACGTTTAACTTCAAGCATGTTGTCCTAACAAAGCTGTCTGTCTGAATTACATTTCATCTCCTGTATAACAAGCCCCTTTAGTCTTTCCTTTGCTGAAATTATGGGGAAGGGCTGGGGACCTGATCAGGCTGAAGAAGTGCCCTACCACCACCTCACACATTCTACTGTGCATCCAAGTGTTGTGTAAAATTTTTCAGAGACACCGTTGATGGAATCTTTTGAGGGAGAAAAGATTACACATTACTTGGGAAGACAGGCGAACTAATATCAGTGTACTAGAAGAAGCAAAGATCCCAGTGTTGAAGCAATGATTCTTTAACATCAATTTCATTGGACTGGTCATGTTGTGCGGGTGCCTGATGATCGTCTTCCATTGCAACTACTCTCTTCTGAACTTAAAAATGGAAAGTGTAATGCTGGTGGTCAACAAAAGACTGTCTCAAGGCAAATCTTAAAAATTATAGCATAAAAAGTGACAACTGGGAAACACTGGCCTGTGAGCGCTCCATTTGGAGAACAGCCTTTACTAAAGGTGTCATGGGCTTTGAAGACACTCGAACCCAGGACGCAAGGGAGAAATGTGCTAAGAGGAAGGCACGTTGGGCAAATCCACACCGTGATCAACTCCCACCCGGAAACCAGTGTCCCCACTGTGGAAGGACATGTGGATCTAGAATTGGCCTCCACAGTCACTTATGGACTCATTGTTAAAACCGTGTTTATGGAAGACAATCTTACTCGGCTACGAGTGATCGAAGAAGAAGAAGAAGAAGAAGAAGAAGAAGAAGAAGAAGAATGTGCATCCACAGAGCTCTGCAGAAGTAGGCTTCCATACATATTTCAAATGAAGAGACATCATTTTCTGTGTATCGGGATGTCTGTTCATTTGAAATATGTGTGGAAGCCTGCTTCTGCAGAGCTCTGTGGATGCACATAGCACATGGGCTTCTTCTTACAAGCCAACAAGAAAGTATATACAGACATAGTCCTTGGGTCCACAGTAAACTTTTATCTATGAAATCTAAACACATGGATATAGAGATGAGCCTCACATCCAGAATAATAATGTGGTGTAGGCCTTTGGAAGTTCCAATTCCAATACAACAGTGAAGCATGGTTATCAATAAGTATGCCCAAACAAAGGTGCCCAACCTTCATGCCCACCTTTTTTCAGTTGGGGGTTCCTTTTGATTCCTTTTTGGGGGACATGGGTGGTGCTTTGGTGTAAACCACTGAGCCTTGGGCTTGCCGAGGAAGGTCGGCGGTTCAAATCCCCATGACGGGGTGAACTCCCATTGCTCTGTCCCAGCTCCTGCCAACCTAGCAGTTCGAAAGTATGTCAAAGTGCAAGTAGATAAATAGGTACCGCTCTGGCAGGAAGGTAAATGGTGTTTCCGTGCATTGCTCTGGTTTCGCCAGAAGTGGCTTAGTCATGCTGGCCACATGACCCGGAAAAACTGTCTGCGGACAAACGTCGGCTTCCTCAGCCTGTAAAGTGAGATGAGCGCCGCAACCCCAGAGTCGTTCGCGACTGGACTTCACTGTCAGGGGTCCTTTACTTTTGATTCCTTTCACTACTGGATATCCATGTGAATTCCTTCCCCATAGCACCAGGCTCTCTTTTGCTACTGAGCCAGTGTGGCATAGTGGTTAGAGTGTCAGGCTAGGCCCTGGGAGACAAGGGTTCAAATCCCCACTCAACCGTGAAGCACCCTAGATAACCTTGAATCAGTCACTGCCTCTCAACCTAACCTACCTCACAGGGTGGTTGCTGGGATCAAATGAGGAGAGAAGAGCCACACATGCCACATTGAGCTCCTTGGAGAAAAAGGTAGAATGTGAAGACAATGAATAAATAAGTTTTAAGAATGTGATTCCAATGGGAAGAGGGAGATCTTTCTAAATATTCCAAAGCTGTGGTATACTGAATTAACTACTGATCCATCTAGTTTGATCCATCTAGTACTGGCTCTGCAAGGTCTCAGACTGAGCTCATTCCCACCACCCCTTTTTAAAACTGAAGATACCGTGGTTGGAATCTCAAACTATCTGCTTGGCAGGCATGTCCTCTACCCTTGATCTACCACTCTTCAATTTTGCTTTGCAGTAGTAGTGATGCCCTACACAAAGTACCTTCCTAGGCAAGGTAGCCTTGTGATTGAGCTAGAGACAAACTGTCCTGTAAAATAGATCCATAACGCCTGCCATACTTTCTAATGAACTTGCAGACTCTAAGCCTCATTAAAATGGAGCAGTCGATTTGCTGACGATATACGTAACAGCTGCTACAGAATCTTTAATCATCGTCTATTAGACTCTGTTCTGAACATCAGACTCAAAAGTCCTACCTTGATTTTTTTTCATTGTAGATTCACAAAGAATGAAAAGACAGTTTTCCAGATGTATTGAAATTGAAATTAGGGAAAATCCTAGTAGACTTGTGCGAATGATGAAAGACAAAATTGTGAAGCGTTTCATAAGGTCCCAGTATGTATGCTCCAGAGTTAGACAGATACTGACAAAAAAAAAAAATAGACACATGATCCCCCCCTCCCTTTAAAGGAATTTCCTTTTAGCAATGTTCACAAGCAGATGCCTTATGATGAACAGCATTTCAAAAAATTGAGTTGTTCTACCCATTTTTCAGGATTGAAGAAAACCTCAGACTGGTCAGATCTTCTTTGAGATACTATGGTATATCAATGGAACATCAAAGGATCTGCATCATTGCCTGTTTTAACACTTGGGACCAATTTCTTCTTCTCTATGGTCTTTTTGTATCTGTGAGGAAAGAGGCAGCATTGTCTGCCTCAGCTCTTTGTCTTTTAACCAGCATGTTAATATTTATTTATTTAGGTATTTTTACGCCCATCATAATCAATAAAAAAGCTCCCAGAGTGGCTTATAGCATAGTAACAACAACAACAGCCCTTGGCCTCAGAGTTACCATCTAACAGACATGACACAAAAGGAAAAAATGGATAGGGGAGGGAAGAATCAGAATCAAGCTCCATCAAGTTGTTGTGGAATCTTTTTAATTGTGATGAAATGTGCACTACCTAGCACACTTTGAACATTAATGTTAGTCAAATGAAGTGAGGCTTTTAGTTTAAATTGCCAGTGTCCCTGTCTCCCATGGATGTGGATTGCTACATGCACAACTTCTCATATACATTTTCAGGATACAATTCTGAATTTCAGGTTTGTACACCAGCACAATGACTTCTCCAGTTTTCATAGAGAGCAGGGAAAAGTAAGACAAAATATCTATTTGGAGCTGGGGAATCTTGAGAAAACTGGGCATTTATGCTTAGCAGTGTTCAATCAATTATTTGCACAAACATCAGTTTGAGCCTGACACCCATTTTCAGAGTGACAGCAAGGATGCAAAAATGTTGTAATGTGATAGCAAAAAACAAATCACCTCAAACATTGTGTGTTGATGGTAGTTATTCCCCCACTGCCACCAATCGTAAGCAAAAGGTGATATGATGCACACTCAGGGTGAACTTATTGAAATTAATTAACTTAAACTAGTCATGTGCTTTAATTTAAATGGGTCTACTCCGAGTAGGACTAGCATTGAATATCACCCACTGAGTTAAACTATTAATCCATCTTTCTCAGTACAGTCATACCTCATGTTACGTCCACTTCATGTTACGTTCTTTCAGGTTACGTCCCGCCGTGACCCAGAAGTACCGGAAAGGGTTACTTCCGGGTTTCGCCACTCGCGCATGCACAGAAGTGCAAAATGGCGTCACATGCATGCACAGAAGCGGCGAATCACAACCCGCTCTTACGCAGACACGCCGCTGCGGGTTGTGCTCTTTTCATGTTGCGAATGGGCCTCCGGAACAGATCCCATTCGCAACTAGAGGTACCAGTGTATTGTCTATTCCAGGGGTGGGCAACATTCCCCCCTGACAGATTGCCATGGGGGTAATCTTTCAGAGGCAGAATGCTCAATTGTTGGCAGAGTCAAAGGCAGTGGTGAGCAAGGGCACTACTTTTCTCCCACTCACTTCCTGACCTCCTCCCTCTCTCTCTCTTACTTTGTCCTGCCTAGCACACTGCAGAGGATGGAAGGATCACTCTTGCCAGATATCTGGGCTGACCACTTGTAGGGAGCTTTTAAAATGAAGCTGAGGGCCACATACAATTGAGGCCAGGGCCACACATGGTCCTAGGCCTGCAGGTTTCGAACTCTAGTTTACATTGGCTAGATGTAGCCCCAAGGTTATTTCTCCCCAGCCCCACCTGAAGATCAAAGCCAAGATCTTTGGCATCCAAAGCATGTTTTCTACCACTGAGCAACAACCCTTCAACTGAAGGATGATTCATTAACAGCTGAGACACTTACCTAATAATTGATCTGCTTGTAATGAGCTGGAAGGAAATTGCAGGCAATTGAAAGCATTGAATAAGTACTGTGGTGCAGATCTAGTGCTGATATTCATTCAATCAATTTACAGATTACTAATTATACTAATATTCCAAAATACAGTAAATGTTCTAAATACAGAAATATCCACTCAACAGTTACAATTTAAACAATATGGTGTATCCAATTTTTGCAGAAGAAAATACTGCAAAAAAATCCAGCTGCAGCATAATCCTAATCTGATATTAATTCATCACACCTCTTTCAAAGACCTTTGGGAAGAGATGCATCTTCAGCTTACATCTAAACATCATCAGTAAGAGAGACAGTTAAATCTCCCCAGGTAAGGAGCTTTATGAATGAGAAGCCACCATCAAAAAGGCTCTGTTCTCTACCCCCACATATATCTTATATTGAGCTCTGAAGGCAGCCAGTGCAGTTTGTGTAGGGTTGGTGATATGTAGCCTTTTTTTGCCAGACCGCTCCCAACACATGCTGCCACATTCTGTGCCTCTATACGTCTGGAGTGACACACATCCCACTATGATAAGCAGGTTTCATGAAATGGTCCTTGAACTCTTGGAGTTTGAGGATGATCACGTCAAAGTGTGGTTAAAGTAGGATTGGAGATTTTAATGTTATTGTAGTGAATTCTTCATCAGTCACTTGATGAGTCAGCTTTGATTTTTTACGTTTTGGAACTGTACATTGATCTTTCTTCGAAAGCCCACAATTAGGAATTTCCACTTGTTACACTCAGTTAGATCAGTGGTACATAGAGCTGCAGAATCCCCATCTCTGATCTCTGGTGTTGAATATGATAAATTCAGTCTTTTGAACCACTTTCTTCCTCCATTTTGTTGTTTAGTCGTTTAGTCATGTCCGACTCTTCAGGACCCCATGGACCAGAGCACGCCAGGCAGTTTAGTCAAACTCATGATGGTAGCTTCAAGAACACTATCCAACCATCTTGTCCTCTGTCATCCCCTTCTCCTTATGCCCTCCATCTTTCCCAACATCAGGGTATTTTCCAGGGAGTCTTCTCTTCTCATGAGGTGGCCAAAGTATTGCAGTCTCAGCTTCAGGATCTGTCCTTCCAGTGAGCACTCAGGGCTGATTTCCTTAAGAATGGATAGGTTTGATCTTCTTGCAGTCCATGGGACTCTCATAGGTTAATGTTAGTAATTGCAGGTCGGAAGGTTGAGAAGATAATGAAATCAGCACAGTGAGTAGAAGCGTACAATCTCATAAACAAATATTCATAAAATACACAATGGGAATATCCATTAGCTGATATCATCATCAGTTTATGATTCTGTTGAGTCACCCAAAGTGGCTGGGGCAACACAGTCAGATGGACAGCTTACAAATAATAAAATTGTTGTTGTTGTTGTTGTTGTTTGAATCAGTCCCTTGACTGTTATAGTGAAGTCGGCAGAGGTCGTCTCTCGGATCCAAAACTAAGTTCACATCCTTTACTATCATGGAATAAAGACATTGAAATATCAAAGGTTATTGTTCTCTTACTGTCATGGTTTTTGAGATTTTATTGTAATTCTCTTGAGACTTAAAGGCAAGATAGATAGTGCTAATTAATTAAGTTCCAAGTGGATTACAATAGCATCCACATAAAGCCTCCAAATCCATCAATATGAATGTAGAATCAAATTAATATTTGAGCCAATTAAATACAACTGTAGGGTGTTATAAATGCATAAATAAATGAAATTATAGCATTTTTTAACTATTTGTCAGAGCAAGCTTGAGATGAATGTCACCTGACAGTCAATTTTGGAGAAAGGGTAGAACGAGTGATATCTACCCATTTCATCCCACAATTTGGGTGGAGTTTGAACTGGCTTTCTTCCATCAATAACTAAGAAAAAATTTTTTTTAAAGAAAGGTCCATCTTATGTGTGCAAAGCCTGGGGCATTTAGGACCTCAGTCACTACTGAACATACTCTCTTCTAAAAATATGTGTGAATTTTGCAGCAAGAATGGCTTTTTGAAATGAAGATGGACTCCTTTAAACAAGTATGGATGAAGTTATAGCTGAGATTTTAAATTTTCTAGCCTTAACGATAATCCCTTTTGGGAAATACCAACATTCCTCTTTCTTAGAGGAATTCAAGAAAAACAATGATAGAACAATGAGATTAACCTTGTAAAGTTTCCTTGTTCTCAGTTCTCCGCCTGTGGGACACTCTTTCTTGCCTTCCATCCATTGCCATTAAAATCCAGAGTAACAAAGAATAAATCATAAAGCAATGCAATGTCTTATATGAAGATTTATATTCTTCTTTTCTAAAAGAGGACCATGGCCTTGTGCAGCAGAACAGCCATGAATCATATTGTTGTCACTGCTGGGACATTGACATTTTTTATTTTTTATTTAAAAAAAAATACTCTTAAAACTTTCTTTACATGTTCTTTCACAGATAATCCCATGCTACATATCCTTCTCACTGTACAGATTTATTGAAAGTAACCTTTGGTATTAGGGATGTGTGTTGGTTTGCACCATAATTTGGTGCTTTGGGAAAGAGCATGATTCAGGATGAAGTGTTTACAAGACTCTCCAGTTTGCTTTGGGGTTTGAATCCAAATCCTGATTTGAAAATGTTTGACATCCCCCATTCACTATTGTGGGCAAATAAAAAAATAAATCCCCCCTTTTTGCCAGAACTGGATATTGAAATCAGGTGAGTGCCTTCACTGTCCATTTTTTGGCACATGTAGAAGTTACATACATTTTATTTCTTGTTAAGTACAAAAGATTTTAATGATCCTTTGAATACTTTTAAATATCTGTTTTTAATCATTTTTATTAATATTGTTTATGATGGATTTTATATATTTGGTTTTCTGTTGTTTTACAATCAAGTTGTATATAAATTTTGTTAGACAAAATAAAATCAAGCATTTTCAGGCCCCTCCTGAGTGGTTAACATCAGCCAAATTATAGAGAAATAAGTGTATGAACTTTTGAAGTGGGTACATTTTAAAAAAATAAAAGAGGAACGATCTATAACTTTTTTCATAGAATCATAGGATTGTAGAGTTTGAAAGGGCCCCAAGGGTCATCTAGTGGAGGAATCCCCCTCCAGTGGAGGAATCTCAGCTAAAGCATCCATGACAGAAAGGCATCCAACCTCTGCTTAAAAACCTCCAAGGAATCAATCCATCACCTCCCAGGGAGTTGAACAACCCTTACCACCAAAAAGTTCTTCTTTCTGAATCTCCTTTTTAAAAAAAACTAGGAACATAGGAAACTGCCTTATTTATGTTTCATTTACCGTATTCAATTTGTCAGTTGCTTTATCTCGCCCAAGGCAATCCAAAGCGACTCACAATCAAGTTATATGCGACTCACGCTGAGGTGGACCATGGTTCCATCTAGCTCAATATTCTCAACACCAGCTGTCAGCATCTCCTCAGGGCTTCAGAAAGAGGCCTTTCCCTACCTGGAGATGCCTGGAATAGAACCTATAATGTTCTGCATGCAAAGCGGATGCTTTACCACTAAGCTACAGCCTGGTTGGCAGAAATTGATGAAATTTACAGACATAGTCATCCTTTCTGATGTAAGGAATCCTTACACATTTATGAAGGATTTACCTACAAGGGTAGCCTTTACCATTTTGGTATGATTAAGGAAGGGTCTTCTCCATTGTTTTATGGGGAATTTGTGTACAAATAACACACAATATTCCCAGTGGGGTGAATAGGTCTCTGGTATTGTTTTTCAATTTATTTGCAGTTATTTTCTGTGTTGTTTTTAACAATTTTATTATGTTGTGTATGTCGCCTTGAGACATATATGTGGAAGGCAATTAATAAATAATAATAAACAATGACATAGAGGTATTAAACCTGTCAAATTACAGACACAGAGGTGCAGGGATTATTCTGGTTGTTGTTGTTGTTGTTTAGTCGTTTAGTCGTGTCCGGCTCTTCGTGACCCCATGGACCAGAGCACGCCAGGCACTTCTGTCTTCCACTGTCTCCCGCAGTTTGGTCAGACTCATGTTTGTAGCTTCGAGAACACTGTCCAACCATCTCGTCCTCTGTCATCCCTTTCTCCTTGTGCCCTCAATCTTTCTCAACATCAGGGTCTTTTCCAGGGAGTCTTCTCTTCTCATGAGGTGGCCGAAGTATTGGAGCCTCAGCTTCACGATCTTTCCTTCCAGTGAGCACTCAGGGCTAATTTCCTTAAGAATGGATGCGTTTGATCTTCTTGCAGTCCATGGGACTCTCAAGAGTCTCCTCCAGCACCATAATTCAAAAGCATCAATTCTTCGGCGATCAGCCTTCTTTATGGTCCAGCTCTCACTTCCATAGATCACTACTGGGAAAACCATGGCTTTAACTATACGAACCTTTGTTGGCAAGGTGATGTCTCTGCTTTTTAGGATGCTGTCTAGGTTTGCCATCGCCTTTCTCCCAAGGAGCAGGCATCTTTTAATTTCATGACTGCTGTCACCATCTGCAGTGATCATGGAGCCCAAGAAAGTAAAATCTCTCACTGCCTCCATTTCTTCCCCTTCTATTTGCCAGGAGGTGATGAGCCCAGTGGCCATGATTTTTGTTTTTTTGATGTTGAGCTTCAGACCATATTTTGCGCTCTCCTCTTTCACTCTCATTAAAAGGTTCTTTAATTCCTCCTCACTTTCTGCCATCAAGGTTGTGTCATCTGCATATCTGAGGTTGTTGATATTTCTTCTGGCAACCTTAATTCCGGCTTGGGATTCATCCAGCCCAGCCTTTCGCATGATGAATTCTGCATGTAAGTTAAATAAGCAGGGAGACAATATACAGCCTTGCCGTACTCCTTTCCCAATTTTGAACCAATCAGTTGTTCCATATCCAGTTCTAACTGTAGCTTCTTGTCCCACATAGAGATTTCTCAGGAGACAGATGAGGTGATCAGGCACTCCCATTTCTTTAAGAACTTGCCATAGTTTGCTGTGGTCGACACAGTCAAAGGCTTTTGCAAAGTCAATGAAGCAAAAGTAGATGTCTTTCTGGAACTCTCTAGCTTTCTCCATAATCCAGCACATGTTTGCAATTTGGTCTCTGGTTCCTCTGCCTCTTCTAAATCCAGCTTGCACTTCTGGGAGTTCTCAGTCCATATACTGCTTGAGCCTGGTAGGGACCTTTAAAGTTGATTTGGGGAGAAGTAAAAAAAGATCTGCTTCCTCCTCTCTAGTTTTATGGGCAAGGTTTTTATTATGGAAATTGCATACATAATAGAAGTGCCCGTAGGAAAGCAATCTGAATAATCTCAGAAATATGGGTATAGGGGCTTGGGCTTATGATGGATGGATGGATGGATGGATGGATGGATGGATGGATAAACAGCTTCAGGGTTCTGTTCTGCTTAACTGGCACCAGAAATGACAAGAACTATGTGCAAAACTGATTGAACAGGAGTAGATGCATGGCTATGTGCTCACCAGGTTTCTCCCAGGTATAATACAAAATGTGGATGGTTTAAAACTTTAGTTCTGTTTTAGATCTGAGGTGAGTCTCTGAAATACCACATTCTTCCACATCAGCTTGAACCAATCTGCAACAAATGACCTCCTCTGGGGGCCTTCAAAGGTAACTGAAGTGATGGTGTCCCCTCACAGGTGTGAGGCAAGTGTTCCATATTTGAGACATCATCACTTCTGTTACCTTTGTGACTGTAAGGGAGGCACTATTGAGGCACCAGCTCAAAACTGCCTTCTTTTAGGCTCTGAGGGGCTGAATTATTTGCTGTGGCTGTTAGATTTTGGACGTGTTTGACTTTTATTGGTGTGGGCCACTTTGCAGACAGCGAAATGAAGTAGCAGCATCCAAATATCCAAATAAATGTATAAATAAATAAATAAAGTGTCTAAGCAGACTCATCTTCCAGAGAACATGATTTGTGAGAGAACACAATCAGACTAGGACTGAGAACCTGTGCACACTTACTTGGGGCAGAGTAAGTTTCCTAAATTCAGTTAGCTTTTCTTCTAGGGATGCATTCATTGGATAAAGCTGCAAGGAACAGTACCCTAATCAAATTTCTCTACAGAGAACTCCCACCATCCCCAGCCAGCACGGCCAATGGGATCCTGGATGCTTCGACTGCAGTATGCCTGGGTAGCCTAGAGTTGCCATGAACCCGGAATTTCCTGGACATATCCGGAATACTGTCATTGGTAGCAGTGTCTGGGAGGAATTTGGTAAAAAATCTCTGGAAAAATCTGGATGTATGATAACCCATGTTGGCAGTGTTGTTTTCACCGCTTTTCCATTAAAATAGCTCACAAAAGTCATTTTTAATGTGATTTTGCAAAGAAAAGCTCAATAACTTTGGGCAAAACTTAAAAAAGGTCAATAACTGTTTCAAAGATGGCAGTCCTAGTCTATACACTGCCTGACTCCCATACGGAGGTTGGGTGTTTCCCACCCCAGAGCATAGATGCCATTCCAACAGCAAGGGCTGCTGGAATAGAAATTGACCCTCACCCTACTGCCATGCCACCCTCGCTTACCAACTGCTCATTGATGAAGTTGTAGCCTGAGTTTATCCAACACCTGTGCCCTGTGTATTATTTCTACTGCACCCACGAGCAGCAAACTGCATCTGTCTGTGCAAGGGCCCACCACAAACAATGGCTGTTACTGCTGGTCCCAATGAGTAGTAGCACCACTATAGCCAGGAGGAGGATACAGCAGTTTTGCCCAAACTTATACACCACGACTGGAACCCTGTGTAGAAGGGGATGAACCTACCAACAGAACATCTATTTTGCTGGGATTAAGGTTCCATTTCTTGATCCTCATCCAGTCCACTACTGACTCCAGGCACGAGTTATGTAAATTTAGGCAAAAAGTGTGCCTCACATACTTCACACTGATCCATTTCCCCTTTGATACCTCAGCACATACAGCGGCTTTTAAATGAACTCAATGATATCAAGTGACACTTAAGATATCTTCGCAGTGCAATTTTTTACAGGCTGGAAGTTTTTCAATTTAGCAACTTAACAATGTCCAGGGCATTATTTTATTATCTTGATATAATGGAAGCCCATTCTCCAGTGATCGTGATCAAATTTCTAGACCAACTGTTGTTATTACTATTTTTATTATTGTGATCCATGTTAGAATTACTATTTTGTCTTCCAGAGTTGTAGGTGAAACCATAAGTGTCATTGATGCTTCAAGTATTCATCTGTATCCAGATGACAGAGATTGTTATGCCTTCAGGTAAACCTTTAATAGAGATTCATCTACTTTTGAAAAGGAACACACACACACACACACACCACTTCCATTGGATGTATAAAAGAACATGAATAGTAGCTTGAACTTCTTTACATTTCCTTTTCATGTGGCTTTTCAGGATCCCTCTGGTTTGCTGAAATGGTAAGTCTCCTGTATTTCTGCAAGAAGGGTTTTCTCATTTTTATCTCTGGCAAACTAGAGATGAGACAATAAGCCATGGATACTCCTGAGGGAAAGGGATGCGGGTGGCACTGGGGGCGCCTAGGGCTTGCCGATCAGAAGGTCGGTGGTTCGAATCCCCGCAACGGGGTGAGCTCCCGTTACTTGGTCCCAGCTCCTGCCCACCTAGCAGTCCGAAAGCACGTCAAAGTACAAGTAGATAAATAGGAACCACTCCGGCGGGAAGGTAAACGGCGTTTCTGTACACTGCTCTGGTTCTTTAGAAGCGGCTTAGTCATGCTGGCTACATGACCCGGAAGCTGTACGCTGGCTCCCTCGGCCAGTAAAGCAAGATGAGTGCCGCAACCCCAGAGTCGTCTGCGACTGGACCTAACGGTCAGGGGTCCCTTTACCTTTACCTTTACTCCCGAGGGATGTATGAATCTGTGCACTCCAATTCCCCCCCCCCATCTTAAATTCAGTTCTCCCCAGAAATTTGTGGTTCCCCCCCAACCCTCATAAAAATTCATCAGCAAAAACACATTTCAAAGAAGATAAACACATTTTTGTATGTAATTGTGATTAATGCACACATTTCTGTGAGAAATTTCCCCTAATGGATGCTATTTTCACAACTTTATACACACTTTCCCCCAATATGTGAATTTTTAAAACACATTATATGGTTGGAGAAATGCATTGCAAAACTTGGAAATCTTTGAATTTTGGACAATAGCTGTGTTTCGGTTTCCATACTGGGTTCAGGAAGCATGGATTAGGTAGTTTCTCATTAAAATGCAAACAAAACACATGCTAGAGCTTTTTGTTCTACTTCCTGTCAATCAGCTCCTGTGCAAAACCCCAAGATTAAATGGCCCAAGATTGAAAGGCAGTCAGCTGCTGAGAAACAGCTTCAGCACGCACATCCTTTCATTTCTGCAGCGTTGGGAGCTGAGGTGTTTGCAAGCTAGAAGCTGGAAGCAGGCAAGGCTGCAGGCTGGGCAGCTGGGAGACAGAACCATGCCTGATTTCTGTTGGAATCCAAGGCTACAGCTGTGGGAGAAGCAAAACGTCTTGGAGTGCTAATGCTGTGAACCCTTCCATTTTAGGCT